GGCAGGTGCCCTGCTTGTGTGGGGTAGGAGGCTGTGGTCAGGACCACTGATGGCCCCCAAATGTCCCAATGTAAGAGGTAAGGTGGCGTTGGCTTTGAGGAGCAGGGTCAGGAGTCCAGATGAAGCGGTTCAAGGCGCTCGTGTAGCCTGGACTGAGACCCGGTCCAGAGAGGGGGGTCCCTCATTCACGAATACAGACCCCCCAGCGGCCAGGCAGACTGACACGGCCAACGTGGCTGCTGAATCTACAGAGGAAGGCTCCTTCTTCTAGTATCTCCCACATACTCGCCCATCTGACAAGACCTGGCTGCTCAGCCTACATGGGAAAAATGTCTATTTGGTCTTAGAAAAAAAAAAAAAGGTTTTCGCTGGGTGCAGTGGTTCATGCCTGTAATCCCAGCCCTTTGGGAGGCCGAGGCAGGCAGATCACCTGAGGTCGGGTGTTTGAGACCAGCCTGGCTAACGTGATGAAACCCTGTCTCTACTAAAAATACAAAATTAGCCAGGCATGGTGGTGCATGCCTGTAATCCCAGCTACTCAGAAGGCTGAGGCAGGAGAACTGCTTGAACCCTGGAGGCGGAGGTTGCGGTGAGCCAAGATCGCACCATTGCACTCCAGCCTGGGCAACAAGAGCGAAATTCCATCTCGAAAAAAGAAAAAGAAAAAATGGTTTTCTTCTGAAAGGCTACAGATGTTACTGAGAAGATTACAATTTCTGTAAAAAGTCCTCATGGATGTGTTAATAATTAAACAGATTTTTTTTTTTAAAGATAGTTTATTTCAGTTTCCACCTTCTGATCACTTAGGGTGCGATATATATACATATTTTTTTCTTCACAGCAAACACCTTTGATTTTAGCGCTGTTTTGAGATCTTCACCCTTGAAACTTTCTCAACCTTAAAATAGTTTGTAGAACATCACCGAGTGGGACAAAAAATTGCAGAAATGGAACAGATAAGATACTGGTGTCACTGCATTCCACTTGAGGGCTACCGTCAAGGCAATGTCTGGACATGACCACGCCGAGTCTAGCAAAGAGAAAGCAGAGGGTGTGCCCGTGGGAGATGCCACTGATAGTCCCGACACGGGCTGCCAGGTCCAGGAAGGCGGCAGGTCAACCATGTTGTGATGCATTTACATGTGTTAAGGGATCCATGTGTGTTGAGTTTCTAGCATCTCCTGGTGTTCAAATGCTTGCCTTATCTTTCTCCAAGTGTGCACCCAGAAGACCCTAAGCGACAGCCCCAGGCTCGCCGGAGACCACGAGCTCCTCCCCACAGCCGAACCCATGTGGAGCTGTCTCTGTCTCTCACCGGGAGATCTGGAGTCCCCCCCTTAGGGCTGCACCTCCCTGTGGGCATGCCTTCCACCCCCACCTCTATTTCATGGAGAAACTAGGATCAAGGAGGGAGCGGGTGCAGCCCCCCAGTTCTAGTCAATGCACAGGGGATTCACCGACAGGCATCCTCCTTCCAGTTAACGTGCAAAGGCCCTTAAAGCGCAGCTCAAGGGAGCTCTAAGCTACAGCGGGCTCAGGCTCTGACTGTTTTGTCAGGCCCCAGAGTCTGCAAAGTGGGGAGCTAGGTTCTTCCCAAATTGCACATTGTCCTGGGGGAGGCGTGTAGAAGGGAACTTGGGATGAACAAAACCAGCCCATGTTTGCTCCTAGCGGACGTGCTGAGTTTTTCCCTTTCCAGCAGTAACTAAGAAGCCCTATGCCCACCCTCAGCCCCTGTGGAGCGCTGTCCCACTGAAATCCTTTGGCCACATGCGTCCCCAGGTGCAGCTAAGGCAGGGCTGCGCTCCCACGGGCTCACTCATTGCACTCTGCAGGCTAAACCCAATCCCTTACCCGCACCAGGAGGCGGGGCTCCCCCGGCAGCACCCACTCTTGTGAACCTGTTGGTCACACGATTGATTCCGTCCCCTTCCTGGAGAGTATGTGACACCCAGGCCCAGGGATGCGTGGGGGACTGAGGTGCAGAAGGCAGGCCCCCTGAGAGTCTGTGTGGAGGGTGGCTTTGGCGGCCAGTGTTGGCCGCAAGAGAACAGTCTGGACGTGGGTCTTCCATTGGGTGTTTTAGGCACCAACATATTCCTGTTCCTGGCCTGCGGGGGGTCCTGGGGTGTGCGGGCTGTGTGGCTCCAGGAAGCCCTGCTCTGTCCAGTCTTACCCTGTGCGGGCCACGCGGGGTGCAGCTGGCATCCGACTCCCCTTTCCTGCGGGACACAGCTGGGAACTTCTGAAGCAAAACCTATCTCCAAGGATCATCGACGTGAATACGCGATTTATAGGACAAGGGAATGAAACGGACTCGTCCAAAGAAAAATGGTTCAGCAGAAGTGAATGGCTCACCGGGACTGGAAACAGGACAGCGAAAAGAGTGAGAATGATCCTTGAGAGAGAACCTGGCGGCTTTGCCTCGGGGCTGTGGAAACTGGGGAAGAGACCAGCCTCAGAACACCTGCCCACCAGGACCGGAGGGGCTCTCCCTCTCCTCTCTCTGAGGCTGGGGCTGGGCCACTGCCACCCCGTGAGCATCCCTTCCTCTGTGACAAGGGACCCTCTAGTTTTTAAAGTCCTCTTTCTCAAGCTCCACCCTGTTCTTGGAAACACTACTGGGCTTCCTGGTTGTGCTGTGGTCTGGTTTTGGGTAATTCAGTAACCAAGCTGATCTAATCACCCAGGCCTACCTGGATCCTTCCTAAAGGTGGCTTGCACCTGCAATCCCAGCACTTCAGAAGGCCAAGGTGGGCAGACCACCTGAGGTTGGGAGTATGAGACCAACCTGACCAACATGGAGAAACTCCGTCTCTACTAAAAATACAAAATTAGCCAGGTGTGGTGGCGCATGCCTGTAATCCCAGCTACTCAGGAGGCTGTGGCAGGACTGCTTGAACTGGGAGGCAGAGGAGCCAAGATTGTATCACTGAAGTGAAACTCCATCTCAGAAAAAAAAAAGCCAACACATAGTGGGAGCTAGGAAGGTCAGGCCTGTAGCTTACAGCCCTGGTTCCGGCTAAGGAACCCCAGTTAGACTGAAACCTCTCACAAACTCTTTATGGTGTGAACCTGCATTCCTCACGTCAGGGGTCTGGAATACCAGGTGCTCCTGAGTGATAAGGTAACCCATGCAGAGCAGCCCAGGAAAAACGAATCTCCCAGCTCCAGCCTTCTTTCCTCATAACAGAAGTCCATGGCGTTACCGGGCTTGGAGGAGTGAGAGGCCCGTTTGGTTTTAACTCAGAGGAGGAAAGAGGAGGGTCAGCGGTGTCTGTGATTCCGGCGCTGGGCCTCAGTGCTGGTTCTAAACCCCATGTGTTCCTTGCATGAACCTGGACATTAGGTTCTGATTTGGGTACAGGCTCAGAAACCAGACTCTCCCTCTAGCCCGTTTTTGGAAATTTCAGAGCTCTTTGGCCCACGTTTCTTTTGGCAATAGGAAAATCATAGCATCTACCCCAGTTCACTTACAGATAACTGATGACATCAGAATTCAGTTCTCTGGCCTTTGGTTAAACGCGCGTGTGCACCGTACACGCACACAGCAGATGCAATCTATGAGCACAGTCCCTCTTAAACATCTATTAATGTTGCTAAAATTGTAACAAAGGCTAAAAACATACAGTGCCGCATCTCAACATGTCCTGTTTTCAAAGCAGGGAGCTTTGCACTTGAGTTTGCATTTTGGTTCACTAGGATTTGCACAGCCCTCGAGGTTGGGGGGCAGAGTGCCTGCAATGCCCCTGTGCCCACTGGGACTGGGAACCTCTCCCTAGGAATCACCTGACACTTCCTGAGTTTACAGAGGGGCCATCAGAGCTCCTACACCCAGGTGGACCTGGGTGTCCCACCTCTCCACGCAGGGACCTTTGAGCCACGTGGCTGGGTCTGCCTGCTCCACACCAGAGCCCAGCTCATGCCTGCTCCGCTCAGGCCCTGGGGGAAGAGAGGAAACCTTGAATGGCAGGTGGTCAGCCCTGTCCCAGGCACACTGGGCCTCCTCCAGGAGACCCTGGCCAGAGCCACAGCCGGCAGGAGGCTGCCTCCCGAGCCACTGCTTGCTCTGCTCACAGCATGGGAGGCTGTCTCTTGGGTGGCGTCCTGTGTGGAGGGAGTAGAGGGGACCCTTCCCTGTCAGGCTTCCTCCAACTCTGAGGAGCTAGATCTGTAAGAACAGGTAGTGAGGGGGAAAGACAAAACAAAACCCTTTCCTCTCCCCGAAATGGCTATTTCAAGAGGTCTATGTAGACAAAAAAGTGTCGAGATCATTTTGGAAGTTAAAGTGCTTGGAAAAAAGCCCGAAGAAGTCAGCGCAGAGTCCTTGTAGAGGCTGTGCACACGCTCCGGCACCCCCAGGAGAGTCTCAGAATCAAAGTTTACCCAGAAACCAAACAAATCAAAACTTCCATACAAAAATCCTATCCACACAGGGCTAAGTCTTGTGAGCGATGCAGAGCCAAGTCTTAATGCATTTCAGCTAACGTGAATCACACAAGACCAAGAACGCTGACGAGACGGCTGAAGGGAGCTCCCGATAGTCAGCCCTGAGTTTCACCGGGGCAGGGAGGAGGGCGCAGTGCCCTGGAACCACGGCTGGACACTGCGGGAGGCGCGTATTATCTGCAATTGGCATCAGAGCAACGGATGTCCACACACCCTTCTCTCTGATGTTTCTCTTAACGGATTTGGTGGAGATGCGGCCATCAGGGCCCAACCATGGGGGAGGGGAAGCCCAGCCTGCACAAGCCCCCACCCCTGCCCCTGCCCAGCTCATGGCGAGTGCACTGCAGCATGGCCATGCTCCGGCCAGCAGCATCACTAGGCTGAAGTCCCTCACACGCCATGCAGTCAGGGGCCTGAGCCTCAGCTCCCCGGTTCTGGAGGCTGGCAGCATGGGGCCCAAATGCATCAGATGACACCATGTTTCAGGTAATGCCCCAGACACACGTTCTGTGATGCAACCAGTCTGTGCTCATCTCTGGAACATTCTGGGGAGCATTCCCCAGAGGAAAACCTTCCAAGCAGTGGCCAGGTGACTCTCAGGTGCTTCTGTGGTGCTGACAGACAAGACGGGACTTATGTGACCCAATGTCAGAGGAGGTAGCCAGGAAGGACGGGAGGGGAGGATGGCAGGTGGAGGGAGAGCCCCATGGGCCTATTTCACAGTCAGTGACCGCAGTGGTGACGGGAAAGAGGCAGGGAACCCCAGGCAGGCTGGCAGCATCCACGCGTGGTGAAACAGGAGGCTCCGGAGCCACCCTGCGGTTGCTGGGAGTCAGGCCCCGGGCCACGGGCTGGCCTGAAGTGTGTGTGGTACAGACCCACAGAAGAGAAGGGCCGTGGTTCCCAGGCAGTAGGTGAAGGGCGTATCTGCAGAGGCTGGAGGAAGGAACTCCAAAGGTCTGGTGGGGAAGGAAAAGCGCCTTCTGGAGCCCCTGGGGGCAGGGACACAACGCTCAGCGCTTGGAGGCGGAGTTGGTGCCACCGGCTCGCCCTGCGCGTTGCCCAGAACTGCCTCTCTCCAGCAGCTGTCACTCCCAACTCAGACTTTCCTGCCTTGTCTGGAATAAAGAGCAGCACTGTTTGCCTTTAGAAAGGGGCATTGTCTAGCAGCTAGTAAAGAAACTTCTTTCCTGTACTTCTTGTGTGGGACACACGGCACAACGCTGCTTCATGACCGAACAGGCTTCTCTGCTTCAGAAGGGAGCTGTCGGCCAGGCGGGCGCATTTCAGATGGTTTTCGTGGTCTGCTGCAGACACCTCGGCACTGCTGTGACTCTGACAGACACACAGATCCCAGGCCATCTGCAGGCACACACACGTCCCTCTGGTGGTGCCAGGTCTTGCTCTAGCCAGCCAAGAGCATCCTCTACACCACACCTGCCCTCTCCCTAAAACAGGTGTTTCCTCCTCAAGGTCGGAGAGGGCCGACCCTGTAGCAGGAACACGACCCAGGGCCATCCGCTGTGAGCGGCATCTCCAGTCCTCTGCCACTGGAGGGCTGCAGCCCCCCCTCAAGGCTATCCTGCCTGTGTCTCTCGCCTGCCCCACCCTCGCCAGCCCTTGGCCTTCAATGGCCCATGGCGTCCTTCCCCTCCTCCCTCTTGGTCTCTTCTCACAAGCCTGGCACTCAGAGTACGGCTGATCACCTCGGCTTTAGCCGTGGGACCCAAGAGACACTTTGGCACATGGATGGGGGGCACAGACACAGGCAGAGGAGAGGAGGGAGGAGCAGCGGATTCTTCTAACTGCTAGTTCTAGGGCAGCGGGAGCGACTCTGGGTGCTGCTGGCTTCATGCAGGTCATCGGGTGGGGTGGCAGCCGGGCACCGGGCCCGGTAGAACAGCACGTGGGCTCAGTCCTCCGCAGAGTGCAACCTCTGGGGCCTACTCAGTGGCCATTTGCTCAATGTGGTCACTGAGCAGCTTGTATTGCTCTGGAAGAGAAAACGATGTGATTTCTCAGATGAAGGATGGTGACAGGGACAGGTATGTTCTGCTCTTGTCACTCGGGCAGGGACGAATCAGGGCCTCCCTGGGGGCAGGGCTGCGACTTCCAAACCACACTGCCATCCACAGGCCACACTGCTTGTGTGCTTCAGGGCAGGGCTGTGCCATGAGGGCACGGTGCACGCACAGCCTCCTGACCTGCACGCCACCTGCGGGGTACAGCAGGTGCCTGGAAGGGGCCCTCAGAACTGGGAATGTACATTCTTAGGAAAATGGTGTCGTGGAGTGCAGCCCCTGCAGCCTGTGAAAGGCACAGCATGATCAGTCTGGCCAGCCTGGGGACCAGGGGGGTGACAGCATCCTCCTTGCCCTTTGCTAGTGAGGTGGGGCTGCTGGCAACATTTTCAGATGGTCCAGTAGCCACTGGCACTGTCACGCCTCCTGTGGCCACTCCACCACAGATCCCTTGAATTACATGGAGAAGGGGATTCCCTAAGGAATACGCGTCGATCTGTATCCACGCCTGAGCGTGAGGTCTTTCCCACGAAGAGGAAGCAGTGTTTGCGGCAGATGAGGCGGCACACAGGGACCGGCCCTGCACAGGAGGGGACCGGCCCCACACAGGAGGGCACCAGCACCGCAGCAGCTCCCTGCTGTCATGGAGGCCAGAGATTCCAGAGAAACCTCAAAACTCCCTCCCCACCTCCCCTGCTCCTCGATACTTGCCATGGCAGTGAGGTCCGAGAAAGAAAAGGAAGCCCCGCGGCCGCCATTCAGCAGGGAGCCACTCGGGGCTGGAGTTTGGCTCCGTGCAAGCTCTGGGCCCAGGCGCTGTGTCCCCTCTTTCTTTGCCCTGACTGTGAACACCAAGGCTGCAGCCCCAACCCCAGCAATCCCATCTAGCAGAAATGGATTCCAAATGGAATGAGAGGTGTCCTATGCATCTACCTGCACAGACTGGGGAGATAGGAGGGCCGACCGCCCAGAGAGCTCAGCACCACATTCCTGATGGCCACACGACATACCTCCTGGCAGTGCAGAAGCACCAGTGGGCGCAGCCCTGGCTCCAGACCCCAGCCCAGCCTCCAGACCCCAGCCCAGCCTCCACACCCCTGCCCTGCCTCCCCACCCCGGCTCAGCCTCCGCACCCGGGCCCTGCCTCCGGACCCCGGCCCTGCCTCCGCACCCCGGCCC